TTCCCTGCCCTGGGCCAACCCCCACCCCCACGCCCACCCCCACCCCCACCCAATTCTGAGTCAATCTCTTGTAACCAGAAATGTCAGGGTGGCTAAGTCTCACGTTGCCCACTTGCTTCTATTGGCACAGAATGACCTAATTTCTCCATTTACACTTCAACAAGGTGGACAGATGGTTCTGTGCTTCTGAGAGGATTAGCATGCATCAAAGCAAGGCTCTTATCCACTCCAAGCCAGAAGGGGTATTTAAATAAAAAATGGGAACACTAAATCTTTCACACCTGACAATATTATTGTAAATGCATATGGAAGCAGAAGTTGAGCAGTGGGGTAAGGGGTAATTTCTCCTCTGAATTCCTAATTTGATATACTGATTTTAGACTGGTTCTTTCAAAACCTGCCAATAGAGGATTGTGCCCTCCTCTTCTTATTCATAGCTTGCCTCTAGATTATATTATCAAAATGAGGTTGGCCCCTGTGTTTGTTCTGGTTAAAAAGCAAAAACAAGGACATCAGTGATGCATTGGGAAAGAGATGCTTCATCAGAAAATAAGTAGGTGTGAACAGATTGCAGGCAATCAGTCTTAATAGGTGCATCAGTCTACCTTGATGCAGCCAAGGGTTTTCCAGAAGGACATCATTCCACATTTACAGAATGTGGCTGAGATCTGTCTACATCAGTTGGCAGATCTACCTCACCGTCAGTGACTTCAGGGCAAGTTCTGCATATGGATAGATGCTGCTGTTTCTGGGTGAAGCAACCGGGGCCAATGTACTTTGTGGAGGTGTTTTGAAGGAGCATTTCACTCAACCCTCTATCAAGACAACCATCTCTTCAAGGATCTGCATTGTCCTTCCCTGAAGTCCATCAAGGAAGATATATTGCTCTTACAATTTCGTTGCGATGGTGATGGCTCATTTTTGGCTTTTCCTATTGCCTGATAGGCAAACTCTGATTGTGAACTAGCAGGCACTGAGAAACCTCACCTCTGAGAAACACTGATAAGTAGAGCAAAGAAAATGAAGTTCAGTGCAGTTCAATGAGTAACTGAAATCCAGCTGTCCAATTACAACATTTCTAACTCATTTCTGTTTGAGTCTGATTTAAAAAAAAAGAGAGAGAGCATGAATATTTGCATTTATTTTCATATGCAACTTCTCCTAAAACATGCATTTTGAACACGTTTCCTCCTAAAATGTCCTTTTTTTCTATCCCAACTTCCCTGACATATAACTTTTTGAGTTAATTTCCCCAAAAGAGGAATTTTCACACTTGCACGCGTTTTGTACATTTTGTAGATATTTCAACCAGTTACTGAATTGTAGAATTTAGAGAAATGCGTGCCCAGAACATTTTTCCAGAAGTGACTGGAGTCGATGGATTTATTCTTCATGACAGTGCAATGCTTTCTCCATACAAATCACTTTCTGGTGATAGGGCCAAGAACCATGATTCTTCTACTAACATGGTTTCAGACTTGAGGCTGGTGCTGAAATTGCGAATGGTATCATGTTTCATTCCCATCCAGTAAAACGTATTTATCTTAGGGGAAAGCACAATCCAGAAAGTCTTTGATAAAAATGTTGATTTATGTAGGAATCTTTCTCATGACTTCCATTAAATGCATATTTAAATTCATGTTTTGTTGGGTTATATTTTTCAAAATAAAAAGGCAGTTTAGACTGCTTCATTTACCTCTGATCCCCCATACTCAGTCAGATATTTTTTGTGTGATTAAATATGAAAAACAAGATATATTTAGCCATTTATGAAGATGTTTTCCCCTCCAAACTATAGATATAAATTGTGCAATGAGGTTATCTCATGACTTGGTGAAATCCCTGTTAAAAAAAAAAATTGGTTTATCTCATGATGTGGTAAAATCTCTTTAAAAATGACTGATTCATTTTTATTCATCCAACAATGAATTAGGAATAAAAGCCTTGCTTAATTCATCAATGAAGAGTTTGTTTTTGTTCTGTGGTGTTTTTATAGCCTTCTGTGCTGATTATAGAATGCTTCGTTGTCTTTTCAATGAAGCATTAAACTAAATAAGTGCCTCCGTTTTAGCACAACGATTTTAAAAATTAACCATCTTGATCAATTCTGGATTGGCTGCCCTTTTCGATATAGTCAACAGCATATTTGATGTATTAATTTCCTGACCATGAGAAAAAATGTTACATATGGCTGCTAATTCAAGTAAATCAAGATGAAGTTGATTTAGGGAGATGACTCCTTTCCTGTTTTGGGGAGGAGAAAATGAAGAATGCCCTGGGAATTATTAACATCTTATTTATTTGTTTGTTTGTTTGTTTGTTTGTTTATTTATTTATTTATTTATTTATTGGGGGGGCTGGGGGTGAGAAAAATGAAACCGTCAGAAAAAGATAAGTAAGGATAAACCCAACTTGCCTTCTGGATCTGGAGATGTTTCTTTGGACAATACAAGTAGGATACAAAAACCCTCCAACTCAGAAAGATGCAGAATGCTTGTAAATAAGTCTCCCACTGCTGGCGAAGTAATTGGACTAATTAGGTGGAAGGAAGGAACGCCTTTAAATGCCTCCGAAATTAAGTCGGGTCATCCGCTTAACATCTTAACAACTATTCGTGCCTCTCAGCCAGATTCCTACCGCCAAGTTCCGAAGGAGGTTTAAAGCAGGGACTTGGGGGGACGTTTCTCCCACCCCACCCCCCAAATTAAGAAGCAACGGATCCTCTGTTTGGTGGGATGAAGCAAGGACGCCACGTTCCCCCAGCGCTATTTCTCAATTTGATGCACGTTTGCCTCGGTAAGTACAGCAAATCTCTCAACTATGCAAGTTAGAATCAAGCAGAAGCAGATGTTTAAGCTTCGGTGTAATCCTGCTAATAGCACCTTTCACCCCGAGAACCACATAAATAGCAATATTCTTTTCTTGTTCCTTCGTTTCTTCCCTTCCCTTCTGCTGTTCATATGTTTGCAACCTGAAAAGGGCTGTTTTTTAAATAAATTAACGATTGAACTATACCTAATGGGTCTTTCCTCTTCTTTTTCCTTGGATTTTGCTGTTCCCTTGCAGCAAGTAAGTAATTATTTCCTTAAAGATTCGGGGCAAGCCTCCCCTTAAAAATTCAACATGTTTAGAATATTGTTTAAATCGCTTAGGAATCGCCTGGAGATTGAAGCTGCTCCATGGAAAAGAGTAACCATGTGCAGTTCAGGGGTGCTTTATGAAGGCTGATTAGTATACACTGGGGGGAATAGTAGGTCCCCCTTATTTCCTTCCCTGTGCCTAACATTTGTTTGCTTTTTAAAACGTTGCCTGATTCATAGCAGTTTGCATTGTTACCGGCGAAGCGCAGGTTCCCTTTGAGATGTTCAGAAACTCTCTCAAACATGAATGGATGCATTTCACCTACAGACTTAGACGATCACTCCAGGGGTGGATCTGGGCTTTGTACAAAGAAGAAAGGAGGTTTGGTCACCAAGTTGCAATTTATAGAATGCTTCTTTCATGGACTGTGTTTTCTCTTGACTTGTAGTTCAGGCAAATTATGCGCCCTACTTCTTCGACAATGGAGCAAGCAGCTCTAATGGGAATATGGCACTCTTCAGCCTCTCAGAAGATACGCTTGTGGGTCAGTGTTATGATCTTGTGCATATGTGTGTGTGTGTTTAAAGACAGAAATGTTGAGGTTCTGTTTCTCCAAGAAAGCTGCACCATATTTATTGGGACTGTAATACCAATCTCTCCAACTTGGGGTCCTCTGGCATTTGATCCAACTTCACTTATTCATCCTGCCTATCGTCCAGGAGCTCACAGTGGCTTACATGAAGATCTCCCTTCATTTTATCTTACAACAACTCTTCTGAGTTGGACTGGACTGAAAGACTGGGCCAAATTCACCTCGGGAGTTTTCATGGCTGAGGGTGGACTGAACCCAGATCTGGTCCTAGTCTAATACTTTAACATCTACACCATACTGGATCACTAACAACTCCCATATATGTCCCAATAGGTTTGGTGCCAGACTAGAAAAGAGTCACAGAGATACTGATCTTTTTGCCTTCTATACTGTGGGTTCTTTGATGATGTCAACTTGCATAGCAAATGTTTTTCTCTATCCAATACTACTAGTTTATATAGTATGTGTAAATGCAGTCATTCCTAAATTTGTGATTTTGGGGTAAAGTTCTTGCTGGGATTCACACACTCATGCACTGTTTTCTGTCACAGACCATCATGATCTGGGCCAATATCATTCTAGAACTCTTTTCAGTTTTCAGACCTGAATGGCTGGCTTCAGATATGGTGTTAACACCAAACCAGACAAACCATTTGAACATCATACATGAACCCAGCCCTTCTTTATTTCTTCTGGATTAATACTGGAGGCACATTTCAGCTTTTTACTAAATATTAGGGCCGTGTGAAGTTTCAAAGGAGTGCTTTGTTTCAGCAAAGAATTTCTTCAAATGTACTTCATGATGCACCTGTTGTTTCCTTGCTTCTAAGACCTGAAGCAAAGCAACCATTTTTCTTCCCAAGCATGGAGGTTCCTGCATGGGCTGTAGAGAATACTCCACTGGACAGATCTCTCAGCTGAGGGTGGCCAGCAGTATGGGAATGCTCCTTTCATGCCTCTGGGTTCTCCCAACTATTCCCCACTGTCCATCAGTTTAGAAAACAGAGATGGAAAAGGACCCATCTTCTTTTCTCAGTGACCACTTATTGTCAAGGGGCCAATGGTGGGAAATGACCAAAAGAGCTTCTTCAGGGAGTGCTGCGGGAAAAATGTGGGCAAGAGCCTTTTCCAACAGCGTTGGCAAAAGTGCTTCCAGGCTGAGAAACCCTGAAGGTTTCCAAGCCCAGGGACCCCTCAGCCTGGAGATGCCTTGGCATGAGGGACTTCCAAGTTGGTGCCTTCAGTGAAGTCTGTTTGCAATCCTAATGCCTCCCAACACTGGCCCAGAGGAATTGGGGGCCCTTCGCATTGCTTTGTCAAGGTGAATTGGATAGGCCTCTTCATGGTGATAAACTAAATCAGATAACTTCCAGGATCCAAATTGCTTTACTGAAGTGTAATTTCATACAGGTGTAAATTCACACAAACTATAGTGATTTCTGCCATAGTCACACAGTCTACTCTGGAACAAAGAGCAAAGCATTTCCGTGCAGTGGTAAGTCTTCTTCGAGTCAGGCTCCAATCTTGGTGCCTACATAGATATGTGGATTTCTTGGCCACTATATAGAAACATTTATGGAAGTGATTTGCTCTTGCCTTCTTCCTGAGGCTGAACGAGAATGATTGGCCCAAAGACACCCCGTTGGCTTTGTGCCTAAGGCAGGACTAGAATTCATGGTCTCCTGGTTTCTAGCCCAGCACCTTTAACCACTGCACCAAATGGCTCTCCATTGCTTTAACTAGCCATGCCTTACTCTGGGCTGCAAAGCCATGCATATAGCTGCAGATCTCTGCTACCATTTACTAGTTATCTGGTATTAGAACAAAAAATGGTGCTTTCCAGACAGAAAGGCAGGGTGGTACACACATTCTACATCTCCTGGAAAAATTATCCCATCCGAACAGGATTTGGCAAGCCAGATTTGGTATCCTTCATATAATAGGAGAAAATCTTTTTGTGTTTAGGAGTTTCAGGAGAAGCCAGACAAGTAGTTTCTAGGGAAAAATGGAGATGGTGCCAACTGACCAGTTTCTGAGCGTGTTGTAGTCTGCATTTTCCCAAGTAGGAAGGGCTTATGGTTTCTAAAAACACTTTTTCTAATGCGTTTCCTCCAGTGCTTTATTGATTGCTTTGTAGCTTGCTATATTGGGAATGCGGGTGAATTTACACCACGGTTAAGTTTCAACACCATTAAATCCTCACTGACGGGCAAGGGAGAAACATTCTCTGCTCCATTGACGAAGACTCTTTTGCTGGCATTTTTATCCACTTGCTTGGACTCATAAAGATAAGCCTTTATTTTAATTTATCTTCCTTTTCAGCAAGAGCTGCCAAGGATAGATTTTAATTGGTGTTAATTCCATGCTGGAAAATGTTCCCAGAGTGTTAATGATATGGAGAGTTGGTGCTGAGAAGGTGTAAAAATTATCAGCTAGACACCAAGTTTAATCTAGAATAGAAATAGAAATAGAAATAAAGCCCTCCAGTTTTAGTGTTTTATTAACATTTTGATTGCACGCAACCAGCCTAGCATCAGATAATATTCAGGAGCAAAAAGAGTCAGGAAAGATCAGTGAATTCCATTGGTTTATGGCTGAAGAAGAACCTTTTTGAAAGAGTTCGTGCAGATTAATCTTTCATGTTCTCCAGTGTTTTTCATCACACTGCTAAGCAAACACCTTCAATGCAATGAAGGGAAAATATTTCCACTTCCCTGTGAGTCCTAGGATCTTTCCCCACTGTGGAGCTGAAGAGCTCTCACCCACCCAGAGGTTTTCCAAAACCTATTACAAGCACAAAATGTGCTTTCCTTGTGGCCAATTTCAATTTTGTTTCTATTGCCTCTGCTTACAATCATTACCTGTTTCCTGACTTTTTGCTAAGGTAATGTGTAACAAAACCCAATGTTTTATGTACTCTTGGATGGCGTCAGAATAAGAGGAGGAAAGACCAATTTAACTCCAATCCAGCTGTGGATGACTCAATCCTGTCTCATTCATAGGCTAGGGACAGGTTGAAGACAACTTCATGGGGCCATGACAGAAAAAAAGATGTTGGCAGGACATTTTTGTGGTGTGGTTAGGCCTTTAGATTTTCCAAATAAATGGCCAGATTCTATTTTGATTTTTTTTTTAATCTGATTTCTATAACTGAGAAAACAAGGGTTAAATGATTTAGCTGGGGGGAGATTGGAATTGTTAAACAACCCTACAATGTCTACCTACACTTTATTAATTTCTGTCTTAAAAGCTAGAACTGGGATGTAGAAAACTTTCCAAGAATTTTCATCAAAGTGCTGAACAATCTAGGGCAGTGTTTCTCAACCTTGGCAGCTTTCAGAGGTGTGGACTTCAACTCCCAGAATTCCCCAGCCAGCTGGCTGGGGAATTCTGGGAGTTGAAGTCCACACCTCTGAAAGCTGCCAAGGTTGAGAAACACTGCCCTAGACCCATAAAACCATTCATAGAGAGATCTATGACAACAGATTGAGATAATAACCCTTTGAGTGTTTAGCTTGAAAGAATAAATTCTACACTGGTTGTGTATTTCCAGGAATGAGATTGACTTTAAGACTTCTGATGACATGGCTCCCATCAGATCCTTGCCTCCCAGACTCACTGGGGAGAGACAATGTAGGAAGAAAGATCTTCAGTGCTTCTTTTCTATGTCCCCAACTTACTTCATTACCTTGCACCGCAGCACTGGGGGGAAAAAAGCTTGCAGGGGCAAAATCCAGAATAGAAGAGAGGCTCAAGATTTTCTTTCCTTTTTTAAAAAATATTTTATCAGCATTTTACAATACAATAAAAGTATTTAAAAAAGGAAAAGGAAAACAGGAAAAAGAAAAAAAATAGAAAAGAAGAAAAAAGAAAAGTGAAAAAAGAAAGAAAATATAGAATTAATTAATTGCACCCTTCTTTCTGTTGAATAATTGCCAGTTTATACTTTCCCTTCCCTTTTAACCCTTTTTAGTCCCCAAATCCTAAATCATCCGCTCTGTCTTTCCTTCTCTCAGCAAAAAGTCCATGAAAGGCTTCCAGACTTTTAAAAAAGTCTTCATCATTTTTTCTCTGACCAAACGGATCAACTTTGCCATTGCTGCCAGCTCTGCCAATTTTATAATCCAATCTTCTACTGTGGATATTTCATTATTCTTCCACCTTTGTGCATATAACAATCTTGCTGCAGTTACCATATACAATATTAGTTTCCCATATTTATTTTCCAGTTCAGCTTCCATAAAACCCAATAAAATAATTCTGGTTTCATCGTAATAGTATCTTTTGCATCATTGTATAAATTTGCACCCAAAATTTCTTTTGTTTTTTCACAGGTCCACCATGCATGGTAAAAAAAATCCCCTCTTTCTTTTCATACTTCCAATGCTGGTTTGATATTAAGATTTTCCTGACAATCAATAGTATGAGAGGTTCCTCCTTAACTTCATTTTGCCCCATAATGTTGTTTCCTGCTTGGCATCAGGAAACATGCTGAAGGTTATGATTAGGATTTCAGGGAGCCATCCCCTTAATTTGTCTTGGAGATATAACCTTGCATTTCACACTGTAATTTTTCCTCCATCCCTACATGATTTAACAGCTCCATTAATCTCTGTGAGGGCCAAACTGAGAGTGAGTCTGTCACCATGGCTGATCCACAGTTTTTGGTACATACCCCAATTTATCCCCTACAGCATTTTCCCACCCCATAGCAGTGAGGTTCTGATACCTTCCTTCATCAGTTGAAAGAAAATTATGCTTGAATAACTAGAGTGCCTTTGAACACAAACTTTCTCCAGGTGTTCAGCTGACTATAGGTTGTTCATCAAAGCGTTAGCATTTCAACGGGTCTCAGTGATCTGGGAGATTATTTCTCATGAAGATTTCCAACCCTGCTCCACTAATTTTGAATGTCCTGGCCCTACTCAACGTTTTTTTTTTTTTTAGTTAGTGAGCAATTCTAACTTAAGCTACTAGAAGACAAGATCAAGAGAATCAATGTGGTGCAGTGATTAAGGTCTTGGACTGACATCCTGCAGATCCAGGTTGAAATTTACTCGCAGATATGGAAGCTCACTGGGGGCTTGGAGCTAGTCACTCTCTTAGCCCAACCTACCTCAGATAGTTATTGTTGCAAGTAAAACAGTGAGGAAGGACATCCATGTATACCACCTTTAGCTCCATCCAAATACTAACCAGGCCTGACCCTGCTTAGTTTTTTTGAGATCAGCCAAGATCAGTTGGCTGATGGAGCCAGTATAGACAGTTTGGTGTTGTGGTTAAAGCATCAGGCTAGAAACCAGGAGACCATGAGTTTTAGCCTTGCCTTAGGCACAAAGCCAATTGGGAGACCTTGGGCCAGTCAACCTCTCTCAGCCCTTGGAAGGAGGCAATGGAAAACCACTTCTGAGATCTTGCCAAGAAAATTGCAGGGACTTCTCCAGGCAGTTGACAGTCAAAACTGACTTGAAGGCACAGACACACACACAAGGTCAGTTAAGTGATACAGAAGTAATCCAAAATAGATGGAGAACATTAGATTGATTTTCTCAAGAATTATGGACATTACACTTTATTTATTTATATATAT